ATCTATCTATCTATCTATCTATCTATCTATCTATCTATCTATCTATCTATCTATCAATCTATCTATCTATCTATCTATCTATCCGTCTGACTGTCTGTCTGTCAGTCTGTCTGTCTGTGCATTCATCTCTTACGTAGGCTTAGGTCTGATACGTCATTTTTTTTTTCTTTTGTTGTTTCTGTCTGTCTTTTATTTATTTTTTTGGGGGGTAAGCGTTTTACGGTGTTTGCAATTGCAAAAGGTCATATGAGCGCCCGACACACCTTAAACATTTTCAGTTGGTAGGAAATTGTGAATTTTGCCAGGATGGCGATCGAAGCCTACTCATATCGATTTTCGACCTTCAAGGGATCTTTAACTTGCGCAACTTGCACACGGAACCTCTAAGATGTTTTGCCCTTATCCAAGAGAAATAGGTGTTCGACCTTACCTACCTTAAGATCAGGGGTGTGGCTGAAAGACAGCAGCAAGAAAGAGACAGGGAGTAGCAGTAAAAAGACTGCAGAAAGAGTCAGGAGCCCAGAAGAGGGGGCAAACGGTATATGGGGGTGGGGGCACAAAGTGGAGACGAAAGCAAACGACAGGCAGAACATTGATAGAGAACAGGAAAAGAGGTGGAAAAAAAGAGAATTTGAGATAAGAAAGTTTTCCGTTGCTATCCCGATTCGAACCAGGGGCCTACTGAATGAGACGCGAACACCGTAATCTCTCAATCACGAGATCACCATTTTGTCAGTCTGTCTTACTCTGGGCGCTCTGTTAGCTTAGTTGTTATCGTACGGACTAAGGAGCAAACAGCCACGGTTCTAATCCTTGACTGGCTGTTCTTCAACTCGGGTCGCATTGTGGAGACTTCAAGGCTCTTGGAAATGGAGTTAAAATAAAGGTACCGCGTCATAAATTACTCGAGAGTGTTGAAGGGGACGTTAAGACTATACAGTTACTTACTTACTTACTTACTTACTTACTTACTTACTTACTTACTTACTTACTTACTTACTTACTTACTTACTTACTTACTTACTTACTTACTTCTTTGCTTGCTTGCTTGCTTGCTTGCTTGCTTACTTACTTGACTTAACTTACTAACATTTACCATCTTACCCTATCCGTGCATTTAATAATAATAATTGTTGTTATGTCTATGTGCTTCTTTCCAATATGAAGACAACTTTTTTTAAGTTTTAACGAAACATTTAAAATGCCCGAACTGTCGCTCAGGAAGGAGCAGCTACAGCTGTGGGGGACAGTGGCGGCTGTGATCGTTGTCCTTGGGATCTTGTTCGTCTGCTGCAAGAATGACGTCAGCTTCTGCAACAACGAGAGCTCCCTCAAGGAACGATGGGACAACTTCCGGTAAGTTATTTAGATTTTTATATAACACAATGCGATGACACAAGCTCTTTTCTATCAGATTTGGCCTCATTGGTCATATCAGAAGCCAAAATCATCTTAATCTTTTTTTTCCTATTCCTCGTTAAGGAATATTCTCCACAGCAAATGCATTGTTCACCATCAGACATTGACGAACGAGTTGTTATGGCGTACTCATAGAATATTTACTCCCGTATCGAATCTATTTAGGTCATGTGGCGTCGGTGGCCTAGTGGTTAGGCTCTCGGACTCGCAACCGTAAGGTCGTGGGTT